AGTATTTATAACTTGTGTTGGTATTTTTGTGGCCCCTGTGACTTGGAAGAGGCCATGTAAATTATTGTTAAATGGTAGCAGAGCCAGCGAGGTGAGCATAGAGTGGCTGGATGTGGCCACAGGGCCAACTCACGGCCATTTGAGGGTGCCACGTTGAGTGTCCCTCACGCCTTCTTTAAGAACATCATTATTAACACTTGCTTGTGTGTGTTCTTGCGTCTAGGTGCATCAAGAGGCTTTGCCTTCGTGGAGTTTACGACGGTACATGACGCCACACGGTGGATGGAAGCCAAACAGGTATCGCGGTGAATCCCCGCCGGCCCGGCCCGGCCCCCGGCAGTTCCCCCGGCAGGGCCTCTGGACCCCCTGGCCGCGGCCAAGGGGTCACGGCCCAGCCAACTCTGCCAGTAACACTGGGTTTACCTCTTCCTCAATACCATCATAGCCATTATGTTCCTCTTGTAATTTTGCTTCCAATGTTGAGTCAGATAACTTGTGTCACTTTCTGTGAGGAACTATTAATGTTAGACCTTGACCAGTTATTGTACATGTGCGTTATGAGAGTATGGCCCCTCATCCTTACTTGTATTTTAAACCTCAGTCTTACATCACTTGGAGTGCACAATATATTTTTTTTTCTGTTTTTTTTTTTTCCATTAATTTTTTTTATATATTTTTTTAAAGTTACGCTTGCTCATTTTTGTTCCTTGATACTGTATTTATGTAAGCATGACCTTCCTTTATTCATGGTATGAATGTTAAAGGGTGATTGTGAACACATTAGTAGTTTAAGCTGACCTAGGATTCAGTGAACCTAAGACTAGATTTTTTGCTCAGCTGTCTAAGGCAGTGGCTTATTAACACTTAGAGCATGGCCAGGGATATACATAATGAAGGCCACCTCTGCCACGGGGTAACTAAAGCTCCCTAGACTCATGTTGTTGGATTTGATTTAACGAGGAAATGCTTAAGTGTTATGTATATATCTATCTACTTCTCTACATAATTATATGCAGTATTTACCTTCCCTCTTTGTGTCAGATAGTGCATCCTTTCCCGCTTTCCTTTAGTGTATAATTCTTGCATCCAAGAGGTGGTCTTAGTATATCCCACTGCTTTACCTCTGGAGTACCCTGAGAGCACATTCAAGGATGCATGCTTGCAACAGTCAGTGAAACTAGTTGCCACTGTAATACCATTCCCAATGAAAGGTGAAAATATCCAAGGAGCAAGTCTGATAAGGGCTACCCTGCGGGACCCTCTGCTTTTAACAGCATCAGCAACAACAACCACTACAGTAAACGTGCTCACCCGAACATCCACAACAACAAAGTCTCGGCACCACGGTTCTCCTCCAGCCAGGGTGTTGGCACTCCTTCCTCTGTAGGTTGAGACGTGCGACTTTTGACCAGTACTGCCCTATTTTGGGATTTCAGGGAAGAGCTTTTACACAGGTGTAATGCTCAAACCTTCCCTCCCCAGCCCTGCCCTCACTGCTAGTTTGTCACATCACTGATAGTCAGAGAACAGATTCTAGGTTGACCTGAAGGCAGACATACCTGTAGGATTAGCTCTTTTCCTGGCTCATTCGAGGCTGAACTGGAGTCCAAAAGTTGCAGCTCATGTAAGACTTTAAAATTTTGCCCAAGACCATTTTCTAATGTGTATGTGGGTATTTTTTGCAGGGTGTACTTATCCTGCAAGATGTGTACAGAGCAACTTTGCAGTATTCCATCCCCAAGGAATCCTCCGAGCGGCAATCTAAAGCATCACAAGACTGGTTTTGTATCAGGGTAAGACACACCTCTCTCTTGACAAACTTCAAATTATCTTTGTCAGATATAATGGTCTCTGTTACTAATAATATATCATGTGATTAGAATTTGGATTTTTGATTTTATGAAAGTAGAGCAGCTCTCATTTATCCTGTTTTTTATTTACTCAGTGTGGTGCTCATAACTTCAAGCGTCGTGATTCCTGCTTCAAATGCTCGGCCCCACGGCACGAGTCTGAAGCTGGTGAAGAAGGCAGTGACGAAGTGTGTACCTACCCAACCAATAGTAAGTACCTTGACTAACATTCATTGGAAAATGAAATGAAAATCTGATTAGACAAATCCTTTTATTAATAAGCAGGGATGATAAAATGCATTCTTTTGTAAGCATGTGACAAAGGTAGGAGTAAATATGCTTTTCCTCTTTCAGCTTTGCTCCTGCGCGGACTAGATGTCCTTAGTACAGAAGAGAGCGTTCTCCAAGGCATCCAGCATGTGGGAAGTGACCTGCCCATAAGATCTGTCCGAATAGGGAGGGACCCCCTCACCAACACTTCTCGAGGGGTGTGCTACATTGAGCTAAATTCCGTCTTAGACTCGATGCAGTTGCACAATAAGCTTGCTCATGCACCTCCCACTATTGATGGCAAGCAGGTAATATATCCTACTTTATAGAATGTGATTTATATCAAATTGCGCTCAAATATAATTTTCTTTAAGTATGGTCAAGCTGATTTGATAATCTCTCTTTACAGGTCACCATATCCTACTGCAAACTGAACCCAAATAATGGCAATGGTAATGACTTTCCCATTCTTGTTTTTCTCAGTTTTCCCCTGGCTAGTGATGTTCCCAATAAGTTTAACTATGGATACTTGTATAATGTGATCTTGATATTTCATAGAAAGGTAATCATATTATAGGTAATCAATAATATAATTTCAGGTAACAACTGGTCAGCACAGCAGCAGCAACAGCAGCAGTACCATCAGCCTGCAGAGTACACTGCAGGTGCTGACATCAAACAGCTTGCAGAGTACAGTGCCTCTTTGTATGCCCAAACCCCAGAGGAGCATGCGTCCTATGTCCAGTATTACACCATGTACTACCAACAACAGGCACAGGTACTAAGGACATCTGAATTAGGTTTCCTAGACAGGATAAAGAAGGAAATTAAATTTCATGCTTAAACAATCTGGTGGATGAGTGTGGATACGTTTTTCAAACTTCCTCTAACAACTTGTTTAATTGCTTTCATTCTTTTTCCAGGCTTATCAGCAAAATCAACAACAACAAGGCAGTTCAAATCAGTCAGATTCAGTCAATGCTGCAGCGGCGGTTGCACAGTCTGCCCTTCAAGCTATGCAGCAAAAGTCAGCAGCAAACACCTCAACAAGCGGTGCAGCAGCAGTTGCAGCAGCAGCATCACAGAGTACTTACAGCACTCCTACCACAACTGCACCAACAACCACTGACCAGACAGTGACACAAACTACACCTGGTTCTGCCAATTATGATGGAGTTCAGCTACAAACGGGAGAATATCCTACTTACCGTAAGTTGGAGTGAGCTAGTGTAGATGGCTAAAGAAAAAATTGATTAGGGGTCAGGAAAAGGGATGTAGAATTAAACACATTTATTTATTTGTTCATTTATATTTTGTGAATAATATATATATAAATAAATATACATATATATATTTTTTGGCCAATTTCAGCTCCCCCTGATGTCAGCACATACCAGTATGATGAAACCTCAGGTTACTATTATGATCCTTCCACCACGCTGTACTATGATGCCAGCAGCCAATACTACTACAATGCTGAGAGTGGCCAGTATCTCTATTGGGATGCAGAGAAGTCAACTTACCTCCCAGCTCCTGTTGGGGAGGATGGCCATGAGGGGAAGAAGGGGGATAAGAAAGAGAAGGAGAAAGATAAGCAGGACAAGGTTGGTAAACACTCATGGAAGATTTTATGGATTGCAGAGGTATTTTGTTGTCACTATTGCTGTGGCTCATGGGCTTCACTAATTTGTTGCCAATGTTATGTGCATTTTCAGGTTAAAGTTGCCAAGAAGATTGCAAAAGATATGGAAAGATGGGCCAAGGCTCAGAATAAGAGGAATGAAAGTGCCATAACAGGGAAGGCTGCCACAGCTGAACCTGCTGGAGGCTCCCGAGAAGGAAGTGGAACGGGAGCTGCTGATGCTGCCTTTGCCGTGCTTTTGGAAAGAAGAGACCGTGCTTCACTTGTCGAGAAGCAATCTCAGGTCTTCCAGATGCACATGAAGAAGGATTCTGCACCAGTAAGTTTGGTTCTGAATAGGAGCTTTGACAAACACACTAATTTGTTGGAATATTGCTATGCCAGCAATTTAGAAATATTCTCAAAGAAACTGTTTCATCAGGTTCTGGCAAGCATGAAGAAATCAGGCCTTGTCGCAGCATATGGAGGAGAGGGCAGTGACAGTGAAGAGGAGACTGGAGCTGGCCTAGGGGGTATGGGTGAAGAGGAGAGACTGAAGAG